GTTTTAATTCATGTACAAACATTGGTGTAGACTTGCCTTGTAATGTAAAATTTTATTCTGTTCAAATGAGACAATTCTTATATCCAATTATCTTCGATTTCCTGAATTAAAATAAACTCTCATCGATGTAATTATCGAATGCCGATTCGAATGCATTTAATTGCGTACATTAGAAAGGTGCTAAGTACGTCGAAGGTCGCGATGAAACTAAATGTCGTAAAGTATACAAGTGTTTGATTTGAAAAGCTAAAGTTTAGATTTCAAGAATTTCAACGACTAAAACTTTAGAATAAAAATCACCAAATGCTTTAGCACTTGAGTTTCACCTCATATTTCTATGAACGAAATCTTTATTACCGTACGTACAGGTATACACGATAAAAATGTATGCCAAGTAGTTATTTAGATCGACAGCTGTAACAAGACTACTAGCCGCATGATCGATGTATTTCTTTGAAAGAACAGTTTAGGTGGATGGGTGGCAACGAGGGCGAGTGGCATGAAAAAAAATCGATATGGGAACATCGAAGACCTAGTTGTAAGAGTGAGAATGGTCACCGGCAGAACGGAGGATCCGGACATAACGTTGGAAAGGGGTATATTAGTACCAAGAGCTTCCTGTGGTCCTGACTTCGACCATATGATCCTCGGTAGCGAAGGGACATTGGGCGTCGTTACGGAAGTGGTGATGAAAATTAGACCGTTGCCAAATGTAGTCAAATACGGTAGCATAGTTTTCCCAAATTTCCAAGCTGGTGTCTCAGCGATGCACGAGGTGAATTTTCGTTAATTCAATAGCTACATAAATACAGTAGAACCTTTGGTTATCTCAGCCCTGTGTTTTCAACTGGGACGACTCCGTGTTATCCGAGGTGTTTTGAACTTTACGATGAAATACTTAGCATGATTGCCAGCCGATTGCGATATCGCGTCGCGATTATTTTCATTTCCTGAAACGTTTTGTTCTTTATCAAGTGAAGTTAGTGAAAAGAAAAAGAAGCTGATAAAACGGTAATATTAGAGAATGATGGCAGCACGAAATGAAAAACAATAATCTTTTCGTTATTAGGGAAATTCTCTCCGAGGTAGGCTCGGATAATCGAAGTTCTACTGCATTAGATTTAAATTAGAAAACAAATGAGTATAACCTTATATGTGCAAAATCTTCTTTTTGTTGAATTTTTTTTTTTCAAGATTTTGACGAACATTCTTAACTACTTAAAAATTTGATTTTATTTTTGAAAATTAACATTAAACATGCGGTTTTTTTGTCATAAAAAAAAATGTATCACTTTTACCGAACAGGTAGCTAAGAATCGATGTCAGCCGACTAGTATACGATTGATGGACAATGAGCAATTCCAGTTTGGTCAAATGTTGCGACCAAAACCCAGCTGGGGTGGTTTAATTTTGCAGGGATTAAAACAAGCTTACATCACTAGGATAAAACGTTTCAAATGGGACCAAATATGTGTCGCTACCTTATTGTTCGAAGGTAGCTCGGCTGCGGAGGTGGCAGCACAGGAACAAAAGATTTACAACATCGCGAAGAAGCACAATGGTGTTCCAGCAGGTGAAACAAATGGTGAACGAGGTTATCTCTTAACATTTGTCATAGCCTATATCAGAGACCTCGGTCTCGAGTACTACGTATTAGCTGAATCATTCGAGACGTCTGTTTCCTGGAATCGTGCGCTGTCGTTGTGTAGAAATGTGAAATCTCGTGTTATTAGAGAGTATTATTCGCGTGGTATTGAACGGTATCTTATCTCTTGTCGTATTACGCAGACTTACGATGCCGGTTGTTGTGTTTACTTTTATATGGCATTCAATTACAAGAACCTTCTAAATCCGATAGATACTTACGAGACTATCGAACACATTGCTCGCCAGGAAATTCTTGCAAATGGCGGTTCTCTATCTCATCATCATGGTGTAGGAAAATTACGTTCTTGCTTTTACGCGGATGCGGTAGGAAAAGCGGGAGTGTCACTTTATAGAGCGGCGAAAGCACACCTGGATCCTCATAATATATTCGCGGCCGGGAATTTGGATTCACAATGTTTATCGAAACTATGAAGTGAACAATAATGAAATTGTGATAATTGGGAACTACACTGAGAATTATTTCGTTTGGGAAGTTGGTTTCTATTCAATGGTATTTGGTAGCAGATAGAACAGAAGGGAAAAAAGACAATTAACATTGCCATTTTTGTCGGCTGAGATGTCGTGGTGGTATAAAGAAACAGTGGTATAAAGAAAGAGATTATTATATATAAATAAACATGAACTATGGTGTTGTTTGGTACAAATACGGAATTGTAATTGTATCGACATTTTTATAAGTTATTATAAATAAACAAAACTTGCTTACTTGTAGTACTTAATTAATATTATCAGCGAATTACTCATCTGAGTTCCTCTTATCCTTGTTTCATTCTTTTTGTCTGTATCTAATTTGTATATTCTTTTACATATTCATTGAATATTTGTCATTTTCAGTCCATAAAATTAAAATCACTGTTTTGCTATCAGGTCCAAATTATGTTTGTTTGTTTGTTTGTTTGATAATGTGATCAACTTTTAAATATGTATTTACATAAGTATTCAATGATACTGAAAATTATAAGCTCACTGGTTATCAGCCTTCAAAGTAGATAGAAATGAGTTGAAATCATATTCATCATCATATTGTTGTTGTTCCCATAATTCAGGAAGGATTTCTAAAACAGAGCGGCTAATTCCTGGCAATCCAGTAATTTTAGACATGGCACCATCTTGTATTTCTGATTTTTTTCCTTTGCCATTGTCCAATGAAAATAAATCTAATAACTATAAAAAATTATTACAAACAAAATTTATCAATCAAAATTTCTTTGATAATTTGATATACTTCAAAAGTGTATATATATATATGTGTGTGTGTGTGTGGGTGTGTGTATACATATACATAGTTATAACTATTTAAAGTTTCATTGTTATCATAAAATTAAGTTGGGCTTGAGGAAACTTTTATAAAATAAGAAATATAAAAATATCAAAAGATTATACATAATACATTTTTGTTATTATAAAATTTTTATTGTTGAAATAGCTATAACTATGTAAATTAATACATTTAACTTTATGTATTTTACCTGATCCGTTGCCATCGTTTCTAGAGACGCGTTTTCCGGCGAAATTACAATATTTGCAGTGAGAAGCTTGAATTTTTGCAGACCCATAATCTTTTCTTCTACTGTTGATCTCGTGATTAATCTATATACATTCACCACTTTCTTTTGGCCAATACGATGTGCTCGATCCATCGCTTGAAGATCTTTCATAGGATTCCAATCATGTTCCACGAATATAACAGTGTCTGCACCAGTTAAATTCAGTCCAATACCACCGACTTGAGTCGTGAGCAAAAGCACGTCTATTGATGGGTCTGCGTTGAAACGTGCCACTACGGAATGCCTTTGTGTTGATGGTATACTTCCATCGAGACGAAGATATGTAACAGTTGGTAGATGTGTACGAAGAAGATCTTTTTCTACGATATCTAACATTACTTTCAATTGACAGAAAATTAGAGCTCGATGTTGGCTCACTAATTGTTGTTGCTGCGGTGGTTGATTATCTGGTGTAGCACCAGGAGCTGCAGAATTACGACTTTGTTGTTGCTGTGGTTGTCCTATGCCGCAGTCTAATAATAACTGTTTTAATGCAGGTAATTTGGCTCCATGTTCTATTTCTGCTAACGAACTCTTTTGTTGCTTTAATATATTGGATACCTAAAAATAAAACAATTGTTAATTTAAAGTTACAAATGAGAAATTTTTAAGCGTTATGTTGACACTAACTGTCGTGTATAATGGATGTTGTTGACTCAATACTAATTTCGGATGATTGCAAACATTACGTAGATATCGTAATGCTTCGAAAACATGACTACCATGTGCATCATTTCCAGTTGAAGTACACGATGTACTGGATAATAAACTTGCAGAATGTCGAGTACGGAAATCCTCATATAGCATACGTTGTAAGGGTGATAAATCACAATAATAATCTTGCGTAATTTTGGGTGGTAAATCTTGGAGGACATCTTCCTTATTTCGTCTAAGTAAGAATGGTAAAACCTGCGCAATGCAAAATTATAAAAACTTATAGATTATTTAAATACAAAAACAAAACAAAAAAAAAGAAAAAAAAATTACTTGTCTATGAAGTGCTTCCATTGCCAAGGCTCCCGCTTCTTGTTCTTTCGGACCAGCTTTTGGTTCTCTACAGGCTAGTATAGGACGTGAATACTTCGCCGCAAATTGTTTTTCAGTGCCTAAGAAACCTGGCATTAAAAAGTCAAACAAGGACCATAGTTCAAGTACGTTATTTTGTACTGGTGTCCCCGAGAGTATAAGTCTGTGATTCGCGTGCAATCGTTTAGTTGCCTTTGCACTTTTCGTTTTTCCATTTTTGATAATGTGGCCTTCGTCGAGCACACAGTAGTTCCATTGTCGAGTTTCAAAGTAATCGATATCCTTACGCACTATGTCATAACTTGCAACGACGAGCCTGTGATAAGTAACCTTTAGACGTAATTTTTCACGTTCTGGTGGAATACCAGCATATTGTAACACCGAGAGATCTTTGGTTTCGAAGAACTTTTCTGCTTCATATACCCAGTGACCAGTCAGAGTTGGTGGACACACTACTAAACTTGGTGGAGTTTGAGGGTTACGGTGATGATCCAGCGCTAATATACAAAGAGTTTGCAACGTTTTTCCAAGGCCCATGTCATCGCACAGAACTCCATGAAGCCGATAACGATTTAAGAAGTTTAACCAGTTCAAGCCTTGTCGTTGATACGAACGCAATTCTGCAGCTACTGAAATAACTAATTCGGTATCTGGAATACTGCGTGGATTCAAAAGTTGTTCCAAGAACCGCCGCTCTTGCGCTTTCTTTTCTCTAGAATATTTAAAAAAATTATAATATATGTATAATTTATAATATACTGAATTTACGCTTGTTAATAAAATTTTTAAACTTACACTAATTCTGGTGGATCCGCAATCGCACCAGGATCAAGAGGTAAAAGTTGTACGAGTGTTGCAAACGTAGCACTACAAGCTAATCTTACAGCCTGATTCTGATCACTCATACGTCCAAGTAAAGGAACCATAAACAATACAGCGTATGGAACAATATGAACTCCTAAACTTTCGACGAGACACGCTAACGATTCAGCTGCGCCTTGTCTTATTGAATCTACTTCATTTGGTGCTGTTACAGTTGATGAATATATTTTCTCTCCGCCGGTTGTTTCGAGAAGTGGTATTACATGGCGTGTTACGTATAGTATTATCTGGAATAAAATTTTTCGAGATTAAAATTTAATCATCAAGTTGATATTGATTATATTAATTTGAAGTACTACCTTCTTCGTATCTAACGTAGCTAGTACAGCGATACATCTGGCCGCCATATGCCTGACGGCTTTATAAGAATGAGCCAATAATTTACATAAACATGAAAGGCATTCTAAAGCAGGAGGCAGCAAAGCTTTATCAAGACTGGGAGCCATAATTTCTAAAACTTGCAAACCAAAAATTAATTGATTCACTTCTTCTTGAGTATTTTCACGGCCATCAATTTTGTTCTCTTCTCGTAATATATTTGGTAATATTAGTTCCCAAAGATGTGGCAAACGTGTAGGCAATTGTGCACCAAACAGGGTAGCTACAAAAGCAGTATTATAAATTTATATTATAATAAATTTATATCAGATTAGAATTTTGTATTACAAACTTATAGCAGTAAGCGCCAAAGTAGCTCCGCGACGACGTGTTCTAGCAGCTTTGGCTTCGGGTTCTTCGCAAGCAAGTAGTTCTTCTAAAGGAATTTCAGTTGTTGGTGGTCGACCAGGCCCTCTGCCTCCACCAAGTCCGCTGTTGGTTCCCCGATTATAAGCTATTCTTTCAGCATGTTTCTGTCTATTGTTTAAAGTAAGAATTCCGTCAAACAGATCTGTGTCCGTATTACAATTCACACGAGGTGTGAATTCACTATCCGAGCATAGGAATGTACATAAATTGGTTGATATCTGTGATGTAAAGTTAGATTAATTTATTAAATATATGTATATAACAGCTGTTTGTATTAATCATATTAATCATATTTCTGTGCAAACCTTGGCATTAGGAGAAGGATTTCTATCTACACAAAGATCAACTAGATAGGACAAATGCTTTGCAGCCAGTTTTTGTAGTTTTTCGTTCTCCTCACGTTTAATAGCTTCCATTAATGGTTTTACCAATGGGTTAAGAGGTTGTGGAGATGGAGGAAGACAATGTAACATTGTTGCAGCGCCAGCGAGTGCTGCCATTGACATAACATTGTACGAAAGCTGTTGAGCTGCTGTATCAGCGGCCCCCACTTCCAACGCTTTTCGCCTTTCTTCTAAACTTTCGATCAACTTTGGTTTCAATTTAATCGTGCTAGGATTGCTGTTAACATTTCCATTTGATCCTCCGGAGTTCGTCGTATTGCCCATGGCACAAAGTTTCGAAATCGGTTTGCCAACAAGATTTGCAATTTGATCGAGCGTCATCACTCCCGATGCATTTGTTTCGATAGGAACAGGCAATTTATAATGTTTGAGAGTGGCAATGTAATCACGACTGTCGTACAATAGGCGAGTGAAAGATGTGGCAATTTCGTCGTAGTATATATACTCGTTCAGACACTCCAATAGTTTCTTCCTTTTGAGCAAACATATTATTATTATTATTATTATTATTATTATTATTATTATTATTATTAT